TTATATATATTATATATAGTTTTTAAGACTTTGTCTTATATATGTTATATATCTTATATATTATATATATATAGTTTTTGAAGACAGGAGTCTTGCTTTGTTGTCCAGGCTGAAGTGCAGTGGCCTGAATATGGCTCACTGCAGACTCAACCTCTTGGGTTCAAGTGATCCTCCCACCTTAGTCTCTTAGTAGCTGGAACTACTAGACATGTGTCACTGCACCCTGCTAATTAAAAAAAATATATTTTGTAGACACAGGGTCTTGCTATGTTGCCTAGACTGGTCTCGAACTCCTGGCCTCAAGCAATCTTGTTGCCTCAGCCTTCCAAAGTGGTGGGATTACAGGTGTGAGCCACTGCGCCTAGCCAACATACATTTTCTATCACCAGCATCAACTTGGTTGCCACTGCTCTCTCATTTAAAAAACATGAATGTATATATTCTCCCAAGGTCCAGAGGGTTTTATTCTTCATTTGCTGATTTATTACAAATTAACCATTTACTGAGTGACTCCTGTATGTAAGATATTGTTCTGGGCTCTAGGGACACAAAGTGAAGAGTCTGAGGGAATGGGAAAGGAGCATGTTAGTCAAACAAGTTAACAAGAAAATATCAGGTATTGCTAACGCTATGGTAAAAAGTATAAAAACTGACTGAGAGAGAAAAGAGATGACTTTAGATTGAGGCATCAGCAAAGGCCTTTCTGAAGACATTACATTTATCAAGCTGAGGTCAGAAGGACAAATTGTGTAACAGACTGTCAGTTACCCTGAGTAACGTGCTGCCTGCAAATACAGGACTGTGTTCTTGGTAGGCCCTCAGTAAGTGATGGTCCAAGTAGTCATCTCTAAGTTATGTACTCCTGTCTGGGCGCAGTGGCTCACACCTGTAATCCCAGCATTTTGGGAGGCCAACGTGGTTGAATCACTTGAGGTCAGGAGTTCAAGACCAGCCTGGCTAAGATGGTGAAAACCCATTTCTACGAAAACACAAAAAAATGAGAAGGGCATGGTGGTACACACCTGTAATTCCAGCTACTCAGGAGGCTGAGGCAGGAGAATCGCTTGAACCCAGGAGGCAGAGGTTGCAGTGAGCCAAGATTGTGCCACTGCACTCCAGCCTGGGCAACAGAGCAAGACTCTATCTCAAACAAAAAACTAAAACCAAACCAAAACAAAAAAACCCCCAAAAGTTATGTACACCTTATTGCAAATGCACTGTACACATGCTTAATATTAAATAATATAAAGTCAGATTAGTTTGGGTTGCAACAGAATACTAATGTACACAATATTCTAGACACTAACATCTAGTCACATTACAAATACTTATAATAGGTTTTCAAGGGGAAAAGAAAAACCTCCTAGCCTCAATATTATGTATTTTCTAAGTACATGTATAAAATATGGTATTTGCAGGTAATTTTGCTATATTAATAAAAACGACCACCTCATCCCCTGAAATGTTGAAACTCCACTTGTATCAACTAGCTCATGCTTTTACTTTCAAGTCTACTGGTGCTCTGAATATCTGTTGTATTTATTGTTGCTGCTTTTTTTTTTTTTTTTTTTTTTTGAGACGGAGTTTCGCTCTTGCTACCCAGACTGGAGTGCAATGGCGCGATCTCGGCTCACCGCAACCTCCGCCTCCTGGGTTCAGGCAATTCTCCTGCCTCAGCCTCCTGAGTAGCTGGGGTTACAGGCACGTGCCACCATGCCCAGCAAATTTTTTGTAGTTTTAGTAGAGACGGGGTTTCACCGTGTTGACCAGGATGGTCTCGATCTCTTGACCTCGTGATCCACCCGCCTCGGCCTCCCACAGTGCTGGGATTACAGGCGTGAGCCACCGCGCCCGGCCTTGTTGCTGCTTTTTAATCAACATAGATGCTTATAGAAAACTAAACATTAGGCCAGGTGTGGTGGCTCACTCCAGTAATCTCAGCACTTGGGGAGGCCGAGAAGGGCAGATTGCCTGAGGTCAAGAGTTGGAGACCAGTCCATCCAACATGGCCAAATTCCCGTCTCTACTAAAAATACAAAAATTAGCTGGGCATGGTGGCAGGCACCTGTAATCCCATCTACTGGGGAAACTGAGGCAGAAGACTCGCTTGAACCCAGGAGGCGTAGGTTGCAGTGAGTTGAGACTATGCCACTGCACTCCCGTTTGGGCAACAAGAGTGAAACTCCTACTCAAAAAAAAAAAAAAAGAAAAGAAAAGAAAACCAACCATTATAGTTTTTACCATTCCTGATAAAAATGATAAAATCTGTTCAACAAGACTTTCCCACAAAGATAAAACTGAAGAATAAAATAGGGAAGATGTCAAATACAGAAACTACGAGGAAAGACCTTTTATAATTAAGAATGTTCTAAAAAGTACACTGAAAAGTATACTACGTAAGGTAAACACAAACAAAAAATCAATACAGGCATAACGGAAGGGACATGTCCTCATTTTAAATATTCTTCTATCTCCAAGGTTAAAGTAAGAAAAGGCACTGGCTTAAATATGGACACTATTTGTGAGCCATTTTAAACACTATTTCCAAGCCAGTGTAAACGGAAGGAGGTAAATGGAAGGAGGTAAAGGACAGTAAAGAGAATCTTGTGAGGAAAAACCTTTTAATTTCTTAACCCTGTTTTAATGTTGCCTAATTAGCATACATACCATAATTCAATAATAATCATGAGCCATTAGAAAGCACTGTATTGCTAATTACGTGTGAAGTCTTTAAGTCCATGCTGGTAGGTTAAACTGTTTGTTACCCCCTCCAAAGAAAGCAAGAAGTGTTGCGATACAATCAACAAAACAGTGTTTTACCAACATTCTCTTTGCCTGTAGCTTCCCTTTGAGTAGCTGCACTTGGAATTGTGCCAGAGAATCCACATGAAATCAAACTATAGGATTCAAAGGAAAATTTAAGGTAGCCACTGCTTAGGAGGATTCTGAGTATCTCTGCTTTACATAGAAACATTTATCTAAAGGACAATGAATCATCAAGTTCAAACTTTCTAAAAGAGTGTTTTCCCCTGAACACGTCCCCAGGTCATAGCTATAAATCCCAAAGAGGCAAAACTGTTAAGCTAAGTGGATTAGAGCTAGTTATTAGTTCTGGGACACACATGCTATTTTCATACGCTATAAAACACACACACACACACACGCACACGCACACACACACACACTTTGTTCCACATGTGCACTAGGGCTCTTTATAAACTATTTGGGTTAGAAGATACTTTAATTAAAAACTTGACAGAGGATTATATATATTCACACCATTGATCAGGGACACTCTTACGAGGCAAACAAATACAGGAGCTAGAAATAAATTATTTAGGCCGATAGTGAGGGCCAAAGAATCCTCGGCAGAACTTCCCTTTTAACAAGAAGCAGACCCAGAAATCATTTCTTTTCTAATACAGCAGCCTGAAAGATTGAGCTGCAAACACAGGTAAGGAAGCTGGAAGCTTCCATGGGAGGATGCCTGCAGCTATGCCAATAGAAAAGGGCTACCTGGGGGCCAGGCACGTCCACCATGGAAACTCCATCTTCCTTTGTTAGCACGTGTACAGTAAGAAAGAAATGGGCAACATGGAGAAACTCAGGCAGAGAACCCACCTGCATAACAGAAGATTGGGTTGGGGGCTGCCAGAGATTTGCACCCTATGCTGATGGCACACCTGGCCCTAACTGGTTTTTCATACTCTATGTACACCAGACACTACCTCCCCATTAGCTCGTCTATAACCCTCCCTGCATTTCACTGCGGATCAGCAACAAATTTTTCCAGGACCCCTCTTGGTAGTAGAGAGCTCGTCTCTTTTTATTTTTTTAATTATTTTTAAATTCTATTTATAAAATGCAATCTGCACATCCAAAAATCTTTTTATTTATTTATTTATTTTACTTTAGGTGCATACTATATCTGGCATTTCTCCCCATGTTATCCCTCCCCACTCCCCACTGTCTCTCTCCTACCCCACCAACTGTCCCCAGTGTATGATGCTCCTCTTCCTGAGTCCACGTGTTCTCGTTGTTCAACACTCACCTATGAGTGAGAACATATGGTGCTCGGCTTTCTGTTCTTGTGTCAATTTGCCGAGACTGACGGTTTCCAGATGCATCCAAGTCCTGACAGAGGACACAAACTCATCGTTTTTTATGGCTGTGTAGTTTCCATGGTGTATATATACCACATTTTCTTTGTCCAGTCTATCATTGATGGGCATTTGGGTTGGTTCCAGGTCTTTGCTATTGTACACAGGGCTGCAATGAACATATATGTGCATGTGTCTTTATAGAACAATTTATAGTTCTTTAGGTATATATCCAGTAGTGGGATTGCTGGGTCAAATGGAATTTCTATTTCTAGATCCTTGAGAAATCACCATACTGCCTTCCACAATGGTTGAACTAATTTACACTCCCACCAACTGTGTAAGAGTGCTCCTATTTCTCCACATCCTCTCCAGCATCTGTTGTCCCCAGATTTTTTAATGATCGCCATTCTAACTGGCGTGAGATGATATCTCATTGTGGTTTTGATTTGCATTTCTCTAATGACCAGTGATGATGAGCATTTTTTCATGTTTGTTGGCCTCCTATATGTCCTCTTTTGAAAAGTGTCTGTTCATATCCTTCTCCCACTTTTGAATGGGGTTATTTTTTTCTTGTATTATCTGTTTTAGATCTTTGTAGATTCTGGTTACTAGCCCTTTGTCAGAAGGGTAGATGCAAAAATTTTTTTCCATTCTGTTGGTTGCCGATTTACTCTAATGATGGTTTCTTTTGCTGTACAGAAGCTCTGGAGTTTAATTAGATCCCATTTGTCTATTTCTTTTGCCTATTAAACTTCAGCTCCTAACCTCTTTGTGTGTTGGCATCCTTGATCTCCATGGCCATGAGACAATAAACCTTGGCTGTCATCCCAGATAAGGCCACTTCGACATGATACACTTTTCAACAATATACGTTGCACGAACTCCAAATACCTGAGATGGGTCTCAATATAGGAAGTTTTGCCAAGGTTAAGGATGCGCACCTGTGACACAGCCTCAGGAGGTCCTGATGACATGAGCCCAAGGTGGTTAGGGCACAGCTTGGTTTTGTAGATTTTGGGGAGACATGAGACATCAATCCATATATGTAAGATGAACATTGGATCAGAACAGAAAGGCAGGACAACTCAAAGTGTGGGAAAGGAATTCCAGGGCATAGGTAGATAAGAGACAAACAGTGGCATTCTTTTGAGTTTCTGATTAGCCTTTCCCAAGGAGGCAATCAGACAGGACTTTATTTCCATGAGCAGAGGGATAACTTTGAATAGAATGAGTGGGAGATGGGAGGCAGGTTTGCACTAAGCAGTTCCCAGCTTGACTTTTTCCTTTAGTTTAGTGATTCTGGGGTCCTAAGATTTATTTTCCTTTCACAGTTGTTACAATGTTTTCAGAAATCCACTGTGGCAAAAAAAGAAGCACCTGAACGTTTTTATTTGGGTAGAATAAAAACAGAAACAGTAACAGGAAATTCGGGTAATACTGCTACAACCAGTTCCTTCTCTGTCCCTGAAAAAGGTGCACCAAGGGTAATTAAACCATAGGAAATGTTATTCATGTTAAAATAATCTATTCGGCCACTCAAAACTACAAATCAAGGAAAATTTGAAAAACCTTTAGAATGAAAACATTCTTTATTGATAAGCAGACACTTCAAATTTTTTGATTACATAGATCATGCAAAAATGACTGACCTTACACATGGTTGTCTGTTCACTGTGACATCTTTTTTGACATGATTATAAGAATGACTGCAGTAGTAAAAATAATTCATGAAAATCTCTTAATGAGCAAAACATTACATAGCACACATGAAATACTGTTCATCCCTCCTGGATGTTTAATTCTCTCCTAATGTAAATCTCTGTATTTTGGAAGACTATTATATACAAAAATGGCAGTTATTTCTGTATGTGCATCCATAGGCACCCAACTGATAAAAACAAGAAAATTTCAAATAATTTTACAAGGTTTGGTTATTTTTCCTGTTTTGTTAATCCAAAACAGGACAATGCCCTTTAATTTAAAATGTTCATTTCTTTTAAAAAATCATTTTCTTCAGAAGATGATTTTGACTCCTGAAAAGGTTGTTTTACACCTGGTAATCTTTTTGAATTGGGGCTGGCTGTATACATGTAGTTTTCAGTAAGTGAAAAGGAGTAGGGCTTATTTTGAGAAGAATTCCTCTTCCCTGTGGTGCTGGGATCACCACTTTCATCCTGTGGTAGGTCTGGTAGTACTCTCAGTATGAAAACCCTAGCACAGGTAAATTCACCTCTTTGAAATAAGCAGTGACCCTGGAGAAAGGTGAATTCCAAATCTCCTAGTAGCATATTCAAGTCTTCTGGCAGTGAAGTAGGCATAAAAGACTTTTCTAGGTACTTGGAGTGGTGCTGTAACAAACACCTAAAAATGAAAAAGTAGCTCTGGAGCTGGGCAGTAGGTAGAGGCTGGAAGAATTCTGAGGAGCATGACAGAAAGAAGCTAAATTGCCTTAAACAGACTGTAGTAGAAATATGGAATGTTAATGCTAGGGCAGGCTCGAAGGAAGGTCAGAGTATGATAGCGAATATTTAGACTGCCATAGAATATCTAACTCATCATGAATAGATTATTAATTGGAATAACATTAAAGATGCTGCCATTGAGGGCTTAGAAGAAAATGAGGAATATGTTATTGGAAAACTGGAGGAAAGGGGACCTTGTTACATAGTGGCAAAAAAATAAGCTGAATTGTGTCCTGCAGTTATGTGTAAAACAGAATTTTTAAGTGATGACTTCAATATGTAGCTGAGGATATTTCCAAGCAAACTGTGGAAGGTACAGCCTGCTGTCTTTTTGCTGATTATAGTAAAATATAGAAGGAGGTAGATAAATTGAGGGAAGAGCTGTTAAATAAAAAGAAACCAGGACTTGATTTGGGAAATTCATGGCCTATTCAAATGGCAAAAGCTGCTAAAACTAAAAGATTCACTGTCAGGACAGCCTTCTCTAGAGAAAGCGATGAAGGTATGGCTGTATAACCTTTTGCTAATACTTCAGAAACATCAAAAGGTCTGAGTATCAGGTCACACAAAAGGCTCTTTGAAGAGATTAAGGGTGTGTAACATGCATCCGCTCAGCTATTTCAGAAAAAGCCACAAATAGAGACAGGATTTTCCAGCAAAGATGTGAGCAGCCTCCTATCTAAATGAGAGAATCCCCATGACATATGTAAGAGACCCACAGTTTCCTGACAATGTTATAGCAGCAGAAACACCACCATTTTTAACAGAAAGCTTTAGAAAATATAAAAGAAACAAGCTAATAAGCTGATACTCAGTTGGAAATGTGGGCTACCTTTTGTGAAAAAGTAAAAATGACTCTGAGACAGTCACAAGCCCAGAGAACTGAGATATCACACCCAGATTCTCTCCCAAATTTAATTTAGATGGCTTTAATGTGAGATTTGAGACTTTTGAGTTGGTGAGACTCATATAAGATTTTGGATTTAGAGTTGATGCTGTAATAATGGGTTGTGACTTTTGAGCACCTATGAGTGAGGTAAATTTATTTTGTGATGGCTCTGAATCTTTAATAAAGGGCCACCCTGAATCTTTAACATGGGCTGATGAATGTAGTAGGCAAGAATAATGTTCTATGTAAAATGTTCATGTCCTAATCTCAAAATCTACATGTAACCTTAAATGGTAAAAGAGATTTTGCAGATGTAATTAAGGTTACTATGGATTTCAAGATGAGGAGATAAGCCTAGATTTATCCAGTGGGCCTCATTTAATCATGAGTACTGCAGAGAACCTCCCCAGGCTGGTGTCAGAGAGATGTGATAATAGAAGGGTCATAGAGATGGAACAGTGCTGGTTTTTAAGATGGAAGAAAGGTCACAAGCCAAGGAATACAGATATCCTCTAGAAGGTGGAATGACAAGGAAATGATTCCCCTGTACAGCCTCCTGAAAGGAATGCAGCTCTGCCAACAAACTGATCTTAGCACCGCAAAACCCATTTGGATTCCTAACCTATAGAATTTCTAAGATAATTAATTTGTGGTATTTTAAGCCTTACTTTGTAACTTGTTATGGCAGCAATGGAAAACTAACCAGAAGTGATAACTAAAGATGAAATGGTGTCTCGGAAGAAGGAAAAGCTTCTGGCTTCAGGAGAAATGCAAACATTTATGCTGGTAATTCTTTAGATCCAGTCTGTCTGACAGAATTTACACTCCTGTATTTCTACACTAGTCTTGTTCTGGAGAAGACATTCTAGGTTGAGCACATAGAATAGTGTTTAATGTAAATAGGGAGTTTCATAGAAAAATGTGTTGAATGAATAAATGAATGTGATCAAGGCAAGCTCTGGGAGGAACTGTAATTACTGGATTTTAAAATGTTGTTGCTGTTTACTGTATCTTCTTAAGAACTGCTGACCTTTACGTGTTTTTGTTTTAAGTTCACGACGGTCACAATTCTATAAAACACAAGGCAAAATTGTATTTTCTGATACTAGGAACACACCTAAATCAGTAAGTAAAAAGGATGTGTAAAGTCTTAATAGAAGAAATAATTATTGTATGATCAAACAATTTCAAAATCAAAATAGACGCTTTTCAGTATATATTACAGACAAATTTTCAACTTATGTGATCAAAAGATTTCTTAATGGCTGTTGGTCAATGCTGCATCAAGAAACTTTAGTGCAAATTTTACCGAATGCATCTTATCAAAAAGGGGTTTTGTTTATTTTTTTCTGCAAACAAATGTTGTTACATTAACACTAAGCATGGAACAAACTGATCTGCCTAGAAATCCAAAAACTATCAACATAAGCCAGTCCTTCAACTAAAAACTCAAACATACTTATCTCGAAGTCTATTCCTAATCCAAATTTGTCTATATTCAGGTTGGAAGACAGAATAACAATAAAACCAAAATTTATCTGTAGAAATAATAAAAATAATTTGGTTGTTTTTAATGCTGGAAGCACTGTCCTTATTAATATGGCATATCATCTATTCCCACATGCTACTGCATGGACAGGAGCAGTATTATTTTAGTTGCTGGAGTAACACAGTGTTAAGGATATCTGCTTCTTGCAGTGTCAGGCTTTCATCTGTTAGCTCTTTATTCGGAAATGAAGTCACGAGAATAAAGTCAAGAGTGGCAAATTCAGGACGAGACTGTACAATAAAGTTCCGGACATCCAGGATCCTGAAGAAACAAGACAAAAAGAATTTATAACGTAAAAAATCATATTTTCATGTAAGCTTAAGTTAAAATTAAATCATAAAAATCACAAAATTTTAGTCTTTATAAAAGGTGTTATAACTTTCTTTAATATATAGTATTTCAATTGAAAGATTTATCTTAGGCTTAAGTTAAAATGTAAAGTAACTTTAGAGTGTACTTAACATTTGCTTTTCCTGTAAAATATAAAAAATCTTAAGGTAAGTTATGCATAAAGTAAGTGTACTAATGTTGTTATTTTAAAAGTGCAGGGCTGGCTGTGCATGGTGGCTCACACCTGTAATTCTAGCACTTTGGGAGGCTGAGGTGGGTGGATCACTTGAGGCCAGGAATTCAAGACTAGCCTCACTAACATGGTGAAACACTATCCCTACTAAAAACAGAAGAAGTTATCTGGGCATAGTGGTTGGTGCCTGCCTGTAATCCCAGCTACTCAGGAGGTTGAGGCATGAGAACTGCTTGAACCTGGAAGGCAGAGTTTGCAGTGGGCTGAGATATCCTGCCACTGCACTCCAGCCTGGAAGACGGAGTGAGGCTCTGTCTCCAAAAAAAAAAAAAAAAAAAAAAAAAGGTGCAGGTCCTACAATTTTTTTGGAGTATAAAATATGTTAGCAGCATATGATCCAGAAAAAGGTAACTATGATTGGTCTGTGGCAAAGTGAGTCTAAAACTATGAAATGTGTTGTCATAATTTTAAATAATTACTCTCACATAAATACAGTAATTCAACCAACATCATAAATATATCTGTTAGGGTCTTGCCTCAATGGACAAATCATATGTTGATGTACAAATCAATCAACATAAAAAGAACATTTAACACTATCTGAAGTTCCGGACAAGAGTACAATTCAACTTTATTTACACTATACATTTATATTATGAAGTATTTGCTACATAGAGAATTAATCCCCATCAAAATTATAACAAATTTTTAAATGAATAAAGTCCCAAAAAGGTTTTACAATGTTAAATCTGATTCTACTTCATTATAGTTTTGGCAACAACACAAAGCTATAGTTCTTAATTTATTTTTGTGTGATACCTGAGATCACATTACTATTTTGATAGTTTATACAAACTGTTTAAACACCATATATTTCATTTCTTATACGCAGCTATTATTCTTTTAAAAATGTTTCTTCTGTCAAAAACTTACTTCAAAAGTAAACCTAAAGAATATCATATTCTTCACTACTCATGTTACATAGTTTTACTTAGGTAAGCAACCCAGCGTATAATAGCAAACAGGACCCCCATTGGTCAAGAAGCTTACCTGTGTGTACTATTGAATCTTTGTATCAAACGACTCCCATCTGCTAACCTGATTTGAATTTTTGTTGTTGGGATTGAATCATCAATAAGAACAACTGCATTAAGTATTGATTTATCCTCCTCTTCTGGAGAAGAAGGTGTACTGACTATTTCAGGGGTAAGGCTAAGAAAGAAGAATTAAAGAATTAGAACACAAATCTGAATATGTCAAATATATGAAAAACTGAAGAGAGCAGATAAACACTCACAATATGGCTTCATTTGAGTCTCCTATACTTCTTTCAACCTCTTTCTTTACAGTAAAGTTATTTTGGATCCTATGATTCTGATTTGGTTTATCTAATCTCTCTCAAAAGCCTAACTTTGCATCCTTTTCTCGTTTAACTGTCTGCAATTTCATCAGACTGTTTAGCAAATCAGTGTTAGAAACATGAGCAACTCTGAGTTAGTGTCAAAGAATGAGAGCACAGATAGACATAGTTTCACATCCCAGCAATGTCAATTGTGTAAAGCTGAGTAAGTCCATCAATCATTTTGAATCCCAGTTCTATCATTTACAAAATGAGGGAATAATACTATGTTATGAAGGTGTATTATGCCAGTTAAGTCCTTAATATTGTGCCTAGAACACAGTGGTTCAACAGGTGCCAGCTATTGTGTACGTATTATCAGCACTAAATTCACTTAAACTTGGCTAATATTACTTAAAACCATCTGATTCAAGCACTACTTTGCAAAAGAGAATTTTTAAGTATTAGTGAAGAGTAAAATGTTAAAACATGACAATAAATTCATAATGAAGCTAATTTAATAGAACATCTTACCATCTGAGCTTGGTTACTAGTGACCCTAGCATTGCTGTGTTAGCCCCTTCTAACACTAGCTGGATGATCAGACAGTATATGCCAAAAGCGACTGTCAAAAATACAGTGCCTTTTGGTTAAAAGATTAAAAGAAATTTAGCCCAATTTTCTCAGTCATCTCAAGGGATTTTTGATAGCCTTGAAGTTTATTCTCTTGAACAATAAGATTTACATGGTTTTCTATACATTATTTGGAAAAAAGACACACATCTATCTACATATTTATCAGTATAAAAGTTCTATGAGCATTTGGGCTTTAGTCCAACATAAAACTAAATCATCATGATTCTTACTCCCAATCAAAAAGTTTCTCAGAGTACACAGCAAAGTGGTAAAATTATCTGGTACTAACTGCTGACACTTTTTCATTAGCTATTTCCTGACACTAATTTTAGAAGTGATATGAAAATATATAAAGATATACAAAAGGTTAAAATTATGACTTACAATAAATGACCAGATATTAAGGAATTTCTTTTTAATTTGGAATTGAGGACCTAAGTAATTGCACTGCCAATCTGGTTTACTGTGCCAAAGGTCGAGGGTTCCTTACAGAAGGGAGGGGAACGAAAAGCCAAGAGAAAAGACACGAGACATTGAATGCAAAGGACATCTTTACCTCTTCCTCACTGATAATCGGGTATACACATTATCATCATCAGTACCACCATTACCACCTCTGCCACATTGTTATTTCATTCACATCAGCTTGGGAAGCAGTGTTAACAGCATGGTTCCCGGAGCCGGATTACCTGGATTCAATCCCAACTCTGCACTTACTATGTTACACCAGGCAAGTCACTTACCCTTACTGTGCCTAAGAGACAACAGTAGCATTGTTATAAAGATTAATTAGGACACATACGCACTTCAAATGGTGCTTTTACATAGCTGGCACTACTAACCGTTGGCTATATAATTATCCTAATAACAAATACTAACAGTTGGCATTATAATTATCCTAACAACAACTCTGGAAAAAAAGCCCTGATACTCCTATTGGTAAGAGAGCTGAGGTTTATCTTGGGCTCTTTCCAGACATCAAGTTGCCTCCTTGTTCTGTTGTTTTTGTACTCTACTGCTTTCTGTTTATGGCAGATTCTGACCAGGTACGCTTCTTCTCAAAACAGAAAATACAGGGTGGGGAAGCTACGTAAGAAAATGTATATCTGTCACAATGAAACTACTGTATATGGAATAATAACATTTGAGAACTGGAATGGATGGACTTTCAATATAACTTAGGCTAACCACATCATTTTACCTAAAAGAAACTGACTCACAGAGAGACTAAAAGACATGCTCAGAACCACTCAGACAGACAGCTGGATAAGCTGGTAGTGTGGTATTAAAAAACCAGCTTAAAAAGTTATGTTATTTGTTTTACTTTATTTTTCTGAGACGCAGTTTTGCTCTGTTACCCAGGCTGGAGTGCAGTGGTGTGATCTCAGCTCACTGCAACCTCTGCCTCCTGAGTTCAGGTGATTCTCCTGTCTCACTCTCCCATGTAGCTGAGATTATAGGTGCCTATCACCATATGAGGCTAATTTTTTTTTTTTTTTTTTTGGTATTTTTAGTAGAGATGCGGTTTTGCCATATTAGCCAGGCTGGTCTTGAACTACTGATCTCAAGTGATCTGCCTGCCCCAGCCTCACAAAGTGCTGGGATTACAGGAGTAAGCCACTGTGCCTGGCCAAGCTATGTTAATTCTAATATTTAGCTTTCAAAATCACATCTGTTTGCTATTTAAAACTTTCTCCGTATCATTCAATTGATCAAACCATGGTAAAATTTTTACATTAAAAAGAAACGTTAAGAAAGAAAAGAGAGAGAAATTAATTGGTACAGGTTTCCAGGCAAAAGGCAGGAAAGGACGTGGGTTGTAATTCCTTCAGACAGAAGCACAAATACCCTCTTCTTCAAACTTATGGAGGGAGAGGAGGATGGAAACGACCATTAATAATCCTGAAGGCTGGAGGGGAACATAATAAGATTGTGAATTCCTGTTAGATACTATTTTCTCAGTGAAGCTGGAAGCAAAGAAATTTGCTGACAGTGAGGGGCAGGGGTCAAGGAGGGGGTCTAGAAAAGCAGCTCAGGCTTGTAAGACTGGGGAGGCACAGCACTGCCTGCTCAGCACAGCTGAGACTGTCCCCAGAAGCACTGAGACGCACGGGGCAGACAACCCAGTCAGGCCACAGTTGTTGAAGAGCTGGGATAAGGAAATGCTTTGAAGTTTTAGAGAAGAGAGCCCTCAGGGAGGGCCCCAGATGAAGTCAAATCTCAGGTGAGTGAGAGTGGCAAGCACAATCTTTTGAACAGAACAGTAGGACAAACAGGCAGTGGCTGTTTTTATGCAGATCAAATCACAATTTTTTATCACTATACATGTCAGCTCAAAAGCCTACCAAGCATGCCTACTCACTAGTCCTTCCTATTAAAAATGACTTCGTGACTTTGTAGGTCTTTTAGCTGTTAGGCACTACTCTAGCTCACCAAACTATTTTTTATACCACTGTAAATTTGCAGTTTTACATCTATGGTTTGCTTTCTTCTATTATGTGAGGGTACTATGTAACATTTTTACTGCATTTTGGTTTGTACCACAATTGTATATTACATAAAAAGATTGTTTCTATCTATGTAACATTCTGTGTGTACTTGGACTGCCATCTATGGAAAACAATGGATTATTTTCATTTCTGTTTTACTTGCTTCTTTTTATGTCCTGTTCAGTAAATCTGGAACCCTAGGGAACCAAGCTATTTTAGAAAGTTACTTTCTAATGAAGGTTAACTATTAAACTCTTAATATATGTCTTAATGTAAATCTTTAATATACAATGTTCTATATGTAATTCTTTAGAATATACGATATTTGCTTATTCAACATTTGGGTTTGTGTACATATAGGCTCACATCAAGCTCATCTCCTTCTAGTGTAAAGTCTCTATTAGAAGCTGAAAATTCTAAAGACTACATCTCTCAGACTCTCTTGCAGCTAGGATTTCATAACTCTACCCTTCCACCAAGGAAACAAACATCTACTTGTTTGGTGGAAGTAGCACTGCAAAGTGAAAACTCTGTAGCTCTTCTGGTTACCAAGGCAGTGGAGGCACTTCTTTCTTTTATGACAGAAGGTCCTAGTATCTAGTCCCTAGTTTCATGGGGACAGAGCACCTGATTGGGGGGCATAGGTATGTCTCTAGAACACTGTTCTATTGTGTTTGTTTCTCCTGGCTAAGGAAAGCTTGGTTTGTTTGTCTCTTCCAGATATTCTATAAACTACACAAGATCCCGTAAGAAACCTATTACTACTAGCAAGTAGATTCTGTTTTTTATAATCAGAATCCTGATCAACATGGCTAGTAAATTAACATGGCATTATTACCACTGATCTCTCACTTTCTTCCATCAGTTTCTCCTTTCTTTTCTATTATTTTCTCTACCTATTTGCCTTAAAAGGAAAATGATCTTTGTGAGATAATATCCTTATTTTCATGCATTTAATAACTGCTGGCTCTTCTCAGATGCCTTCCCTTTATGCTACCTTCTTTAATTCCAATTCCAGATTTACTGTATGTCTACTAACAAGGATGTGAGGTCTAACATAAATTCTTGGTCATACATTTAAATAATAGAGAAGGAAAACGTACATAGCAAAGAGATGACCAGGCATTTTATCTGCATTCTACTTAAAAATCATAACCTCAATAAATATTAAGTAAAAATGAGAAGTGTGAGAAAATTTAAAAAATATATATACATATGTATGTTGATCACAAGAGGAGTAAAAACATAGTATTTTACAATTCAAGATAAGCCTGGCCATGGATAGTGGCTCATGCCTGTAACCCAGGCACATTGGCAGGCCAAGGCAGAAGAACAGCTTGAGGCCAAAAATTCAAGACCAGCCTGAACAACATAGTGAGACCCACATCTCTACAAAGACTAAAAAGAAAAAAAATTAGCTGGGCTCAGCAGTGCCTGTAGTTCCAGCTAGTCAGGAGAATGGGGTAGGAAGCTTGCTTGAGCCCAGGAGGTCAAGGCAGCAGCGAGCTATGAGTGTACCACTGTACTCCAGTCTGGACATGGCAGGAAAGAAAGATGAGGGCGAAAATTCCAAGTAGGCCTGTGACTGAAAATTGAAGAGTTTGTGTCCTGAGAAAAACAGGTCAACATAAATTCCTGTATTTCCTTTAGGTCCCCAGAACCAGTCACTATCAGGAGAATACAAAAAGGAAGACTAGAGATAGCAAAGTATAAAGAAGCAATAATGAATTCTTTCCTATCTTGAAAAATGGGAGGAGAAGAGACAACCAGTGTGCACCAGGCAGCTGAAAAGGGCTTGGAAGGGAAGGAATCACATGAAGAGAAGCAAAGGATGCACCAAAGGGTACACTGGAAACATCCCCAATGCGGCAATTCTGTATCACCTGCAACAGTATGTGGACAAGTAGAGGGTAACTTTTACCAACATATTTTACAATTTCTAAGATCACATTAAGCCATGACTATCATAAAGGAACCACTAAACATTCTGCCATGCATACTGGTTTTTAAACTGTGCTCTTCAATGTCCTAAGGTTCTTTGGAAATGTCTGAGAGACAATGCCTTCCTTCACCGACAATCAGAGGAGCTCAGGTTTTACATACCGGGCTTCCATAACTTGACAAGAGTTTGGCTGTTTAAAAACTATTGAAAATCACAAAGCTAAGCACACTGCTCCTGCTGCAAGAGCTTGGTATTACTGATGGCAGACATGCATACTTCAGTTATGATGTAAGATATCCATTATTCTATCTCATCAACAATCCTTTACAATTCTCTCCTTTGAAACCAGGTAATCTGAAAGAGGCATATAATACAGTGGTGAAAAGCACAAGCTCTGGAGTCAGAGTGCCTGGGTTTGAATCCCACATGCTAGCCATTTCTTAGCTCAATCATCCTGGGCAAATTACTGCATCTGCAAAATGAAGTAATAACTGTGTTTATATCAAAGGGCTGTTGTAAGTGAGATAATGCAGATGTAGGTCTTAGAGGGCCAAGAACATGGTAACTGCAATCTCAATATTAATATTATAGTATTATTAATATCAATATCATAGTGATATAACAACATAATACTATTAACAGATTTGTATATCTAATGGGCATAGTTCATATTTTGGTTTTTACTTCACAGGTCATTTTGCTTTTCTTATTCTCAAAGAAAAATTCATGTTCAACAAAGGTATTTTTTTCATTTTAGGATTTTTACCTTCCAAGTTTTTGCCCTTCTCCACTAAAAGCCTTGAACCTCAATCTAGGTTTTATGTATTCTTGATCTTGATGATCCTCCATATCCAAATTCACTTGGCCACCATGAACAAGGCGCTGAAGCTCCAGGGGAATCTCTCTTTTAAAAAGGGGGAAAAAAGGTTATCATTAAGTTTTTCAAAAATTAAATTACATTGTTGAGATTGCTGTAATTATTTCATAAGCTACATTGGAAAACAGAATTTTCTGCTTAAATTATAACACAAAAATTTCCATGATGATTGATTAGTCCCTGTAGATCTTTCTTAAAATTACTTCACATTACTCCTTGGTGGCTCTCAACACAGGGATGCTTTGGTTGTCAAAATTGGAGTGCTTCTGGCATTTAGAAAGTTAAATTTTAAGACAGCAATTTATCTGTAAATTAGCACTAAAAAATTCCTGTGAGGATAAAAGACAATGTGGATATGTATTAATAAACTCTTTGGAGAAAGTTCTGAAAATTGATATGGGTGTTTTGCTTGTTGGGTGTATTAGCCCATTTGTACTGCTAAAAAGAAATACCTGAGGCTGGGTAATTTATAAAGCAAAGAGTTTTACTTTGACTCATGGTTCTGCAGGCTGTACAAGCAACAGAGTACCAGAATCTGGCTTCTGGTGAGATCTCAGAAAACTTACAGTCACAGTGGAAGGCAAAAGGGGACCCAGCATATCACACAGCAAGAGCAGACACAAGACAGAGGAGGGAGGTTCCAGGCTCTTGAGTGAGCTACCAGGCTGAGAACTCACTCATTACGATGGGGATGGCAAGAGGCTATTCATAAGGGATCTACCTCCATGATCCAAATACCTCCTCCAGCCCCACCCCAAGAGCAGAGGTCACACTTCAACATGAGATTTGGAGGGAACAAAATATCCAAACCATATCATTTCCACCAGTGCCCCCTGGCCAAATCTCATGTCCTTGTCACACTGCAAAATACAATCATCCCTTCTCAATAGTCCCCCAAAGTCTTAACTCATTCTAGCATTAACTCAAAAATACAAAATCTCATCTGAGATTCAAGCCATGTTCTTTCTACCTATAATCCTGTAAGATAAAAAAAAAACTATTTACTTATAAGATAGAATGTTGGTACAGGCATTGGGTTAAACATTCCCATTCCGAAAGAGAGATCCTCCAAAAGAAAGAGGCAACAGGCCTCACACAAGTCTGAAACTCAGCAGGGCAGACATTAAACTTTACAGCTCCAAAATAATCCTTGACTCCATGTCCCACATACAGGACATATTGGTGCCAAACAAGGCTTTGGGCAGCTCTGGCCCTGTGACTGCTCTCATGGGTTGGAATTGGATACCTGTGGCTTTTCCAGGCTCAGGATATGAGTTGCTGGTGACTCTATCATTCTTGGATCTGGAGGGTGGCACCTTCTTCCAACAGTTCTACTAGGCAGTGTGCCAGTGGGGACTCTGTCTGGGGGCTCCAACCTCACATTTCCCTTTGGCATGGCCCTAGTAGGGTCTCTCTGAGGGCCCTCTGCTCCTGTGGCAGGCTTCTGCCTACGCACGCAGAATTTCTGATACATCCTCAGAAATCTAGGTGCAGCCTTCCATGCCTCCTTCACTCACACATTCTGTGTGCCTGTAGGCTTAACACCATGTGGAAGCCACCAAGGCTCACAATGCCTTGTGCCCTTGAGAACAAGCAGAGGCCCGTGCTATATCTGGGGCTCTTTGAGCTGTGGCTGGAGTTGCAGCAGCTGGGATGCTGGGAACGGCGTCCAGAGGCTGCACAGGGCAGCTGGGCCCTGAGTTTGACTTCCAAAACCACAATTTCCTCCTAGGACTCTGGGCCTGTGATGGCAGGGGGCTACCATAAAGGCCTCTGAAATGCCTTCAAGGCCTTTTTCCTGACATCTTGGTTAGTAGCACTAGGCTAGACTCTCTTCTTTTCATACAAATCTATCAAGTGGTTGCTCCACAGCCGGCTTGTATTCTGCTCTGAAAATACTTTTTCCTTCTCTACTACATGGCCAGGAAGAGAATTTTCCAAACTTCAACTGGCTCTGCTTTTCATTTAAATACGAGTTCCAACTTTAAGTCATTTATTTGCTCCTATGTCTGACCACAGGTTGTTAGACGCTGCCTTAACACCTCTTGAATGTTCTGCTGTTTAGAAATTTCTTCCACCAGGGCTGGGTATGGTAGCTCACTCCTATAATCCCAGCACTCTGGGAAGACGATGTGGGTGGATCACGAGGTCAGGAGTTCAAGATCAGCCTGGCTAAGATGGTGAAACCCTGTCTCTACTAAAAATATAACAAATAGCTGGGCATGGTGGTGGGCGCCTGTAATCCCAGCTCTCAGGAGGCTGATGCAGGAGAATCGCTTGAACATGAGAGGGGGAGGTTGCAATGAGCCGAGATAGTGCCACTGCACTGCAGCATGGGCAAAAGAGCCCAACTCCATTTCAAAAAAAAAAAAGAAAAGAAAAGAAAAAGAAATTTCTTCCAGATACCCTAGATCATCACTCTCTTAAGTTCAACCTTTCACAAAGCCTTAGAGTATAGAAACAATGCAGCCAAGTCCTTTGCCAGGGCATAACAAGGGTGGCCTTTACTCCAGTTCCCAATAACTTCCTCATTTCTATCTGAGAGTTCATCAGCCTGGCCTTCACTGTCCATATTTCTATCAGTACTTTGGTCACAACCACTTGAGAAGTCTCTAAGAAGTTTCAAACTTTCCTTTGTGTGTCTTCTTCAGGGAAATCCAAACTCTTCCAATCACTGCCTATTACCCAGTTCCAAAGACGCTTCCACAACTTCAGCCTTCTTTTAGGCGATGCCCACTCCTTGGTATCAATTTTCTGTATTAGTCTGTTTGTACTGCTATAAAGGAATACCTGAGGCTGGATAATTTATTAAGCAAAAAGATTTATTTCGGCTCATGGTTCTGCAGGAGGTACAAGTAGCATGGCACCAGATTCTGCTTCTAGTGAAGCCTCAGGGAACTTACAATCATGGTAGAAGGCAAAGAGGGACCTGGTGTGTCACACAACAAGAGTGGAAGCAAGAGATAAGGGGAGATGCCAGGCTCTTTTAAAGAGTCAGCTCTCGCTTGAACTGCCAGAACAAGAACTCATTCATTACCATGAGGATGGCACCAAGCCATTTGTGAGGGGTCCACCCCATGATCCAAACACCTCCCATATGCCCACCTCCACAGTGGAAGTCACATTTCAACATGACATTTGGGGAGGTCAACAACATCGAAACCATCTAAACATCATGGGGATTTGTGAGCACTGCTGTTATTCAGTGTCAAGGTGGGGGATATCAGACGCTCTGCATACTTCTTATAGCATTTGTTGCCTTTGTTTGGTATCCTGACAGTATCTGAATATAATTTAAATTCAAGATTCATGTTAATTAGTCTTCTAAAATACCTTTCCTTCACAGTTCCTCCACTACTTCTATTCCAATGAATTTAACCTCCACTCCATGTCAGCCACTCACCCTGGACATATTTCAACATTTGGAAAAGATCCACCTCCTATTCCTCTATGGAGTATAATCCTGTATATATAACTCTGGTTATAACAGTATGACTTGATCCTTTCCTACGACTTAATTCCCCAGTTTATGCTCGACTTTGGCTTCAACTGTATTTCTACTGAGAAATAAACCCACTTTCAGCTAGTTTAATTATAACACAGAAAAGCTTTTATTATTATATCAAAATCATTTGGTTCCTCATTCTTTAGCAAAAAGAACTGGTGAGTTACAATGTTCTCTGCAGAGCACTGAGTATCTGAGTTTATTTTCACAAATTATAACTTCAAACTAACCTTTTGAAATCTTCTGCCAGCAGTAATGCCACATTAAAAGATTTCTAATGTTAAGTTGCTGAATTTCAGGCATACATGAAATGAGAGTCACCCTGTCAACAGTAAGCAGGATAGTGGCTTAGTTGGTGGGCAGCTACATACTAATTAATTCATTGATTGTCACATTAAGATGTTTCTTCTTGGAACTGGGTCCATAGTTTCATCAGATTTTTAAATGGGCCAATGGAGAGAGAGATCCAAGATGGCAGTTTAGGAGCAGCTCAGGATTGCAGCTCCCACCGAAAGCGCAGAGGGTGAGTGGATGCTGCATTTCCAGACGGATTTTTATTGCCCACAGACCAGGAGATTCCCAGGCGGAGGAGCCCCACGGGTTGCCGGCGTGGCTCTTTTGACTGGCGCAGCTGTTCTCAGTACAAAATACACGGGACTAGGTGCCCTTTTGGCTGGTGACTGGAGCTCCGGGAAGGCAGAGACGCCCATTCAGCTGATTAAAAAGCGGACCAAAACAGGGAAACAGGCCAGGAGATTCCCGGGTAGAAAAGTGCCATGAATCTCAGCGCTGCTGTTTCAGCTGGCACAGTGGGTCACTGCATGGAAAATCACACAGATCCTGGGGCCTTGTCAACAGGCAACTGGAACACCTCGGAGAGAGTCGACCGTTCAACTAAAAAAAAAAAAAGGCTCCGAGCCAGGGAGCCAGGTGATCAGGCTCAGCTGGTCCCACTCCCACAAAAAAAACAGCAATTGGAAACGCTGTGGGTTGAAAGTTGCATAGCAAGCACAGCTGAACCCGGGAAGGTTCAGCTCTGTGGAGGAGGGGCGTCTGCCATTACCTGCTGGGCAGGGCAGCCCTGAAAAAAAGGCAGCAACACAGCGAAAACCTATAAATAAAGCCTTAACTTCCCGGGACAGAGCACCTGGGAAAAAAAAAAGGGGGGTTTATGAGTCCTGCTGCAGCAGACTTAAACGTACCTGCCCAGCAGCTCTGAATGTACAATGGAGCTCACAGCCCAGCCCCTGAGCTCCTATAGAGGACAGATTGTCTCCTCAAGGAGCTCCCTGATCCTCATATACCCAAATAGCTACCTCATAAACGAGAGCTCAGACTGACATTTGGCGGGTATCCTTCTGGGACAAAGACAGCAGAAGAAGAAACTGGTAGCAGCCCTTACTGTTCTGCAGCTGTTGTAGGTGATCCCCAGGCAAGCAGGGCCTGGAGTGGACCTCAGCAGTCCTACAGCAGAGGGACCAGGCTGTTAGAAGAAAAACTAAGAAACAGAACTAACTTCATCACCAACAAACTAGACGTCCACTCCGGAGACCCAATCTGAAAGTCAGTAACTACAAGGATGACAGGTGGATAAATCCACAAAGATGGGAAGAAACCAGCACAAAAAGGCTGAAAACACCAGAAACCAGAATGCCTCTCCTCCTACAGGGGATCACAATTCCTCACCAGCAAGGGAACAACACTGGATGGAGAATGAGTGTGACGAATTGACAGAATTAGGCTTTAGAAGGTAGATAATAAGAAACTTCTGTGAGCTAAAAGGACATGTTCTAACCCAATGCAAAGAAACTAAGAACGTTGAAAAAAGATTTGACGAAATGCTAATGAGAATAGACAACTTAGAGAGGAATATAAGTGAATTGATAGAGCTGAAAAACACAACACAAGAACTTCGCAAAGCATGCACAAGTTTCAACAGCCAAATTGACCAAGCAGAAGAAAGGATATCAGAGGCTGAAGATCAACTCAATGAAATAAAACAAGAAGGCAAGATTAGAGAAAAAAGGGTAAAAAGGAATGAACAATGTCTCCAAGAAATATGGGACTATGTGAAAACTAACCTACGTTTGATAGGCGTACCTGAATGTAACGAAGAGAATGAATCCAAGCTGGAAAACACTCTTCAGGATATTATACAGGAAAACTTCCCCAACCTAGCAAGGCAGGCCAATATTCAAGTTCAGGAAATACAGAGAACACCACAAAGATATTCCTCAAGAAGAGCAACCCCAAGGCACATAATCGTCAGATTCACCAGGGTTGAAATGAAGGAGAAAATGCTAAAAGCAGCCAGGGAGAAATGTCAGGTTACCTACAAAGGGAAGCCCATCAGACTCACAACAGATTGCTCAGCAGAAACCCTACAAGCCAGAAGACAGTGGGGGCCAATATTCAACATCCTTAAAGAAAAGAACTTTCAACCCAGAATTTCACATCCAGCCAAACTAAGCTTCATAAGTGAAGGAAAAATAAAATTCTTTGTGAACAAGCAAGTACTTAGCGATTTCATCACCACCAGGCCTGCTCTACAAGAGCTCCTGAAAGAAGCACTATACATAGAAAGGAACAACGAGTAACAGCCACTCTAAAAACATACCAAATGGTAAAGAGCATCAACATAATGAAGAATCTGCATCAACTAACGGGCAAAACAGCCAGCTAGCATTAAATGGCAGTATCAAATTCACACATATCAATATTAACCCTAAATGTAAATGGACTAAATGACCCAATCAAAAGACACAGACTGGATGTACTTGGTAAAAAAAACCAAAACCCACCGGTGTGTTGTATCCAGGAAATCCATCTCACATGCAAAGATACACAAAGGCTCAAAATAAAGGGATGAAGGAAGATTTACCAAGCAAACGGAGTGCAAAAAAAAAGCAGGAGTTGCAATTCTCGTCTCTGATAAATTAGACTTTAAAGCAACAAAGATCAAAAGAGACAAAGAGGGACATTACATAATGGTAAAAGGAACAATGCACCAAGAAGAGCTAATGATCCTAAATATAAACGCACCCAATACAGGAGCACCCAGATACATAAGGCAAGTTCTTAATGACTTACAAAGAGACTTGGATTCCCACACAATAATAGTGGGAGACTTTAACACCCCATTGTCAATATTAGACAGACCAACGAGACAGAAAATTAACAAGGATATCCAGGACTTGAACTCAGACCTGGAACAAGCAAACCTAATAGACATTTACAGAACTGTCCACCCCAAATCCACAGAATATACATTCTTCTCAGCACCACATCACACCTGCTCTAAAATTGACCACTGGAGTAATGCAGTTTTGGAATTCAGAATACTGAAAACTTTTATCATTTGTTAAATTTCCTTACATGTTTTGATAAAAATGAAAAGCTTCAGACAAATACTAATTGAAAAACTTATACTGAAAGGTATCAGCTTAACAAGTTTGATAAAAGAGCAATTCCTTTACAAGGAAGGTAAAGATACTCGAGCTCTGTCTCTAAATACATATATGCAGACACACACAGTTGACCTTTGAACAACATGGGTTTGAACTGCACAGGTCCACTTATATGTGGATTGTTTTCAACCAAACATGAGTTGAAAAATACAGTATTTGTGGATGCGAAATCCACATCTATGGAGGACTCATTTTTCATACATATGGGTTCTGCGGGACTGACTATGGAACTTGAGTACATATCAATTTTGGTACATGTGCAGGTGCTACAAACAATTCTCTTCAAGAAACGACTGTATATAAATAGCAATTTTAAGAAGGTTTTGTAACTTTTTTTCATGATTACAAGACAAATTTGTTTTACTATACATAATTTGGAAAATGTACCTACATTTATTGGGGAATTTAAAGTGTAAGTTTAGATTACAGACCACATTTAAGAATCTCCAAGGCTTTTTAATAGCTGTAGTATTAATCTTTGTAATTAAATGTGGTAAATCCGGTAAAATTTTTGCAAATTTACTTATAAATCATTATTATTGTATGTTTACTAATATTTCCCTGTACATATTCTTATTTGTAAACAAAAAAAAACTTCAGCTGCTCCCACCTGGATAAATTTCCCTCTCTGGATTCCCCTCCCACCATAATAGCGTGGGAGCTTCTCTCTCTCTTTCTCTCCCTCTCTCTCTCTCTGTTTCATAAAAAATAAATAAATAAATAAAATGGGCCAATGTCCAATGCCCCTGCCCCACAAAGAACCAGTGACTTGCAGGTAACAGTATATCCTTTATATACTTAAGAATATCTATACCCCAGCAACCACTTATTTAATATGTTCCGGGAACTACTTCTTAAAAACCCATAGTGCACTAATAATTAATAGTCATAAAAAAAAAAGTCCCACTCTAAGTAACAAGAAGAATACAAAAGATACATCTTACCCTCTCTTAACAGACTCCAGAAATTGAGCATTTGTTGGGTCATTGTAAGGTCTCAATTCTCCATCATCTAAACTGAAACCGTTGCTCCACAGTTTAAGCAAAATCTGAACCTTTTGAGCATAGAAAAAGAAAAAAATATATATATATATACATATATATATATGCATATACACACATACACATATATATAAGAATACATCTCCCCCAAACAATTTTAAGTTCTAAATGTGATATCTCAAAACATATTTACTTTTTAAAATAGATAGTTATTTCTATTATTCTTTATTCATAGTGAAAGACATTCATGAAATCACGTCTTTGCTTAGGTAGTTTGTATTCAGCTTAACAAACTGACAATGGTTGCAAATACAAAAGGTCCCATAGCTGAACCCTGGCCTTGAAGTACAATTATTCATGGCTGGTTCACTAGAAAATGAAAGTAATGAGAAGAGGTGCACCCATGACTCCCACCATTTTCCTTCATCTGCATCCATGCTCTTCTTTACTACAGAGCCAAGGGAAAAGACAGAATTTTCAGTAACCTTCCAAGAAACTATAAATTTTTAAAATAAAATTAAAACTCTAAAATTTCAAAAGGCAACAGAAACAAAGAATGACTTTAGGTGTTCTACATGTATACCTCACCTCAATTTAAATTATGAAAATATATCATTTTAATAACTATATATTTGTTCAATTTTTTAAAATTGATTTTTTTAAACAGCCAGGCTCTCATTATGTTGCCCAGGTTGGTCTTGAACTCCTGGGCTCAAGCAATCTGTCCACCTCAGACTCCCAAAGTGCTGATTATAGACCTAAGCCACTGCCCCTGGCCAGAGTTCATTTTTTTAAACACTTTTCTTTTTCTTTTTTTTTTTTAAAGAATTAGGGTCTGGCTATGTTTTCCAGGCTGGCCTTGAATTTCTGGGCTCAAGTGATCCTCCTACCTCAGCCATTGGAGTAGTTGGGACTCCAGGTGCAAGTCACTATGCCTGGCTGCAAATTCATTTTGACAATGAATCATACATTCTTTCAACAAATAGTTACATATCTCTAAGTGCAAGGCGTAAGTGCGATACAAAACATAAAAATTGAGACTGAAAACTCACACATCATTGGTCCTTTTAACCCATGTTTTAAAAAGTAACAAAAAGATTATCACTTTTTAACTTAAAAAGTTTTAGAAACTAGAAGCAAATATTTATATTTTTTCATTTTGATTATTGTACCTACATCTTGCAGCTGATTTTCTCCATAGATATATTCAGACCGCTTACAAAAGGAATTACCCAATCTGTATCCTCCACCTGTAAATGACTAAAATACATAGGAAATGAGTTAAAATTCACTAACGATTATTCAGCAAAAAGTTACTATGTGATATGTATTTTAAAACTAGATAAATTCTAATTAGCCAAAATGGTTCATATTGGAGAACCTTCAAGAATCAAAATTGCCATAAGACTTGACTAAAAGATAATTTCAAACCATTGATGAATAATGAAAATAAAACCCAAAATTTAAGTTCCATTACAGCAGTGGCTCTCAACAATGGATGTCGAAATTATCAGAGATTTTTTTAAAAAGACATGTTTCTAGGCATACCCCAAATCTATTGAACCATAATATCTGAAGCCATGAGGCAGTTTAGATAACCTCCCCAAATAATTTTGAGGGAGAAATTTCAGGTTGAGAAATGCTGCTTATAAGAATATATGAAATTATACTCCAAAAGACACTTAAGTGTTGATCTTCAGTATACCAATATTGGGTCAGTTGATAATAATTAAAAGATGTATAGAAGTTTTATAGAAATTTAGAAAGGTACAAAAGCAATTCAATGGAGAAAGGAGTGCCTTTCAAGAAGTGATGCTGGAGCAACTGGACATCCATAAGCAAAACAATAAACTCTGGTGTCGACCTCACACCTTATATAAAAAATTCAGATCGATCATAGCTTTAAATGTAAAGCTATAACATTTTTCTAGATAACAAGGAAGAAAATATTTGGGACTGACAGTTAAGTGAAAAGTTCTTAGACAATACAGCAAAAGCGTGATCCATAAAAGAAAAAAAAATTGAACTTTATCAAAGTTTTATCTTTTGCTTTACAAAAACCCTGTTAAGAGGATAAAACTCAAATGACATTCAGGGAGAAAATATCTGCAAACCATGTATCGGACAAAGGACCCATACCTATTAAAATATACAAATAATTCTCAGAACTCAACAGTAACAAAATAATTCAATTAGAAAATGGGCAAAAGTAATGAAGAGATATTTCATTGAAAAGAATTAATACAGATAATGGCAAAGCAGCACATGAAAAGATGTTCCTCACTAGCCATTAGGAAAATGCATATTAAGATCATTAGTCATTAGAGAAATAAAACCACATTGTATTATCACTACACACCTACCCAAAGGCTAAAATTAAAAATAGTAACAATACTATATGCTGAAAAGGATGCAGAGCAACTAGTTCTCTCATATATGTGGAAATATAAAATGGCAAAACCACTCTGGAAAATAGTTTGGCTGTTTATTAAACTAAACATACACTTAATGTATGACCCAGCAATTGTACTTCTGAGCATTTATCCCAGAGAAATAAAAACTTATATAAGTAAGAAAATCTGGACCCAATTGTTCATAGTAGCTTTATTTGTAATAGTCAAAAGCTGGATACTAAAATATTCCTCAATACATGAATGGTTAAACTGTGGTATATCTAAACCATAAAATGCTACTCAGGAATTAAAAAGGAACAAAGTTGTGATACAAGCAAAAGCTCTGATAGATCTCAAGGGCATTATGCAGAGTGAAAAAAGCTATTCCAAAAGGTCACATATGTTATGACTCCATTTGTTTAACATCAGAGTTTCACCATGTTGGCCAGGCTGGTCTTGAACTGTGATCTCTCTGCCTTGGCCTCCCAAAGTACTAGGATTACAGGCATGAGCCACCACCACCAGCCTGTGTAACATTCTTAATATGGTAAAATTACAGAGATGAAAAACCAATTGACTGGTATTGGCTAGAGGTTAGGGATGGTAGGAGAGAGGGGGTGGGTGTGAGTATAAATGGGTAGGCTATGAAGAAGAGCTTCAGTTGGGTGATCACACATGTGATAAAAAGATATAGACACAGAGAAATGCCAAATTCCTGGCTTTGATATTCTACCGTAATCATGTAAAATGTAACCATTAGGGAAAACTAGGTGAAAGGTACATGAAACTTCCCTGTATTCTTTATGCAAAAGCTTATGACTCTACTAATCATTTTGAAATTAAAAGGTAACTTAAAAAGTTGTTCAGAAATGTAAAAAATTATCTCAACTTTCAATCAATAGAAAGATTATAATTTTATAGAAATGAAACAAATATTTAAAACAGAAATTACAATTAGAAAAACATGTTTGCAAATAATATAAAAATGAAAGAGGAGGTAAATAAGTGTATTTAGTTTAAAACTGTGCACTGACCTTAGATTTATCATCACCTGAAGCTCTTGTGGCTTCATTCAGAGGGACAGCCCCATGTTCCCTTGCCTCTTTGAAAAGTTCATTCACAATTTTCCCAGTTGAAGGTCGAACTATATGTAATCCACTGTATTCATGTTCACTTGAGTAAAACCTTTAAACATTTTAGTTCATGAATAAAAACTCAGAACAGCAGACATAAACTAAATAAAAAGCTAGAGTCTTATGAAAATAAAAGTTTATACAAAATATTTTATTTAAAAAGAGGCATTCTTTTGACTTCTCTGAAAATATTTAATTTTTAAAGTGGGATTAAGGAAAAGAATAAACAAGAAATAAATCATATGCTTTCTGAGTTTGCAGACATTGACTGTAAGGGCAAAGCCTCCAGCACGACAACTGGCTTGCTTGCTGATCCCTCAGTCTTCTGTAACTGCTTATTACATACATCTCATTCACTAATTCAGCACTTCTGATGTCATAGGGAAAGCAGTATCGACAATCAGAAGATAGTCAGAAGATAGTCCCTTCTCCCTAACAAGGCAACACTCAGTAGAGACCTAGTTACTGACGAGATCTCTAGATTTAGACAGTATAAACAGCTAATTCCAAACTAAAGGATTATCTATAGAGGATTTACTCTTCAGAGATTTTTGGATTTAAAAGAGATCTACTCCCTTATAATCCCCTGTGTTTGTTAAAAGTACATAATTTAGGCAGTGATTCTTGGTGACCAATTTCTACTTTGATTCCAACTTTAAAAATGGTCCTAGGAAACATAAAAATTACCTTTACATAAGATTAATAACCTACTTTTATCTTTCAAGATTTTTTCAATCAAGGATATCAGAAACTATATAACCAATGAAGCATCAACATGGAGACTTCCAGGGTAAGATGACAATCAAACCTCATTTGTTAAAATACTTATAACTCTCCAATCCAGTTCCAAATTCACACTGAACTGACACACAGAACGAAACAATGGGGGGAAATTATATCTGCTCTGGAGACTAGGAATGGAAGTCACCTTCAAGGCGGCTTTCTCCTAAATTAGAATATGCAAAACTGAGTGAGCTAGAGGAAAAAGCAGACCAGTTCTCACTTTGGAGTAAAGGAAAGAAAAGATCCATCTTGATGGAGAACAAGGAGACACCAGGAGAATCCTACTAACGGGTGAAGGCGAAGGCGGGGCTTCATCTTGCCAGTGCTCTGGAGAAGTACACTGGGCCCAACTTTATCTAGAGCAGGAGCCTACAGAAGCCTTCCTCCCAAGCTTACACTCAAGGGCCCAGGGTAGCAAGCAAGGTTGAACACTGCCCTAGCTCTCTTAAGACAAGCCTTAGCGTTAGAAGATTATTTTAGGTAGCTACAACAAACACAGAAAAGCAACGCAAAGCTTCCTGCTGCAGCTGTGTGCTGCTGTAACACCCCTTCCCTCCCTGTCCCACATCTCTAATCTGGCAAAGTAAATAATCATTCCTTTTTATCTCAGTCTTAGTGAGAAAGACCTTACTGCAAAAATCAGTCACAGCAAATGATTTCCTACCTTGTTTATGATTTCTATTTGTTGAAATCTTTGCCTACTCTAAGGTCATGAAAGTATTCTATTTTCTTCCAGAAACTTTATTGTTTTAATTTCTCTATTTAGATCCACAACCCATATGGAACTGATGTTTGTAGGTGGTATAAGGCAGAAGGTCAGTAACTTATTTTTTCTCCATGTAAATGTCCATTTGTTCCAGTATCATAGAATGAAATTCTCTCCCTCACTGCTCTGCAGTGTCATAAATCAAGTTGCTTTTATGTGTGACTATGATTCTGAGTTCTCTCTTTTAGTACATAGTCTACCGTCAGTTCTTACTCTCTTAACTATTGCAGCTTTATAATCGGTCTTTGCATTCAGCAGTGGAAGATCTCAAATTTAATTCATGAATGTTCAGGCAACAATATTTATTGACTCCTGAAGTAATTCTCTATACTCATGCAAACTAACTCATTAAATATAAATGAAAAGGAATAAAAGATGTTTAGTACAGAATTGGTACTTAGCTGGGCCTTAAAAGGATTTAAGACATTAGGACTTAGATAAGCACAGAGGACAAGGAACAAAATTCTACGAATGAAGAGGCACACAGGAGGAAAAAAAATCAAAATGACCAGAGAAATCAGAAAAGGAACCAGAGTCTTATAGTTTTCTTTGTATGCAATTATGTCACTGCACATAATAAGCTTTATTTATATATTTTTTCCAATTTGTATACGTTTTTCTTATCTCATTGTGCTGACTAAAACCTCCAGTACAAGTTGAATGAAATTGGTGATAGGGGTTGTTACCCATTGATAGTTCCCAATTTCAGAAGAGTTGGGCGGTTTCAATCTTTTCACCTCCTAATGATGATTACCCAAACCTTAAACATATTATCTGTGACCAGTGCCCATATTTCCCATGCATTTACTCCCTGCAGTAAGATTTTTGCTCCCATTTTGCTACTGAATCTTCGTTATTTAAAGATTCTGAGTTATCTTCTCATTGCCAAACACAACAGACTTCCGTCAGTTGTTACCCACTTTCTGAAACATTTGATCCTTTTGAGCCTATCCTTCTCCCTTTTCTTGTTTCATAATCGAACTCTCCTGGACTTTCGTTATACCAAAATTGCTTGTTTCTTTGCCCAATGGGATCCAACATCTCCTTCTCTACATTAATGAGTTTTCTTTCTCCTTCTCTTACATAAATCCGCCTATATCCTTGACTTCCACTCCCCTCTATTTAAGCTCATTTGATCATCAAAGTATTTATCCATTGTCAAAGATAACCTCTTCTATACAGATGAACCTCAAATATATGCTTTTACCATTAACTTACAGTCCAGTGTTGAATTTAAAACCACCTGCTAGATAGTTTTACTTGAATCAAGTTCATCTCCAAAACTGAAGCTATTTGTACACATAAGCCCTCCCATTAACAATCACTTTCTCCTGTATCCCAGATTAAAAACATTTAAGTCTTCTCTCTTTCCCACTGGCTTACTCCCTATATCCTATGTCACTACATTTCTATAGTAAACACCTTAAAAGTGTCCTTTATTAATTTCACCCTTTTCTCTCCATTCCATTGCCACCACCTAAATCCAAAATTTATTTTATTTATATATTTTTCGAGACAACAAATGGCTCTATTGCCCAGGCCGGAGTGCAGTGGCATGATCTCAGCTCACTACAATGTCCCCTGCCAGGCTCGAGCTATCCAGCCACCTCAGCCTCCCAAGTAGCTGGGACTACAGGCATGCACCACCATGCATGGCTGCTTTTTGTATTTTTTGTAGAGATGTGGTTTAAGCCCTGTTGCCCAGGTTGGTCTTAAACTCACGAGCTCAAGCAATCTGCATCACCTCGGCCTCCCTAACTGCTGGGATGACAGGCGTGAGCCACCATCCTTGGCCTTGAATTCAAAACTTTATTACCTCATTCCTCAGTTTATCTCAATTGTTTCTGTCTTGATTTCTTTCCCTACTTATCCTATTCTCCCCATCATCATTAATTTTATATAGTATTGCCTGTCCTGTTTTCCTAAATGAATAGAACAGTAATAGCTAACATTTATCAAAAGATGACTATGTGTTTAGTTAGTCCTAACAATGTTATTACTACTATTTTACAGGTAAGAAAACTAAGAATGAAGGAGTTTAAATAACTCACCAATTGCCAAAACCTTATTAGAGGATAGAGAAAAAAAATTACAACTGAGATGTGTCTAACTCCAGAGTCAAAGCTTTTAACACTATATTATAGTTTTGTCATTAAATTTTTAACAAAAAAAAAAAAAACTAGCTTTCCACCACCTTCTACACAGGTACAACTCATTTTCGTGGGCTTCAAGGTTGTATCTAGAACTGGCTACATAATTTGTGGGACCCAGTGCAAAGTGAAAATGGGAGTCCTCTTGTTCAAAATCTATTAAGAATTTCAAAACAGTAACAGCAAAGCATTAGTCCAAGCACAGGGCCCTTCTAGGCATGGGGCCTTGAGCAACAGCACAGGTCACATGCCTATGAAAGCCTTCCTGGCTGCACTCCCATCTATCCAATCTTATTTGCTACTAAGCTACTAAAGTTCTGCTGGTTCCTTTTCTGAGGCCTCTGGTCATTTTGATTATTTTCTCCTCTGTGATTCTTTGTTCCTTGAATAGTGTCCTTTGTTGTTTGTGCTTATCTAACTCCTAATATCCCAAATCCTTTTAGGGCCCAGCTAAGTACCAACTCTGTGCTAGGCATCTTATCTGCTTTATCTCATTTAATTCTCAGAAGCAATACTACTATATAATGGCTTGCAGAGGACATATCTAAGTTCCCTTTATGATATGTAACTTTTCACAGATGAGTATGTCAAAACAGGTGTCGGACTATATCCTGAGGGTCTTTCTGTAGGCTACATAACTCCTCTTGTAAATTAAAAACACAGACCATCTTATGTCCAGAGTTTCAGATAATAAAAATATCTTGGCTTAAAATGACAATGAAACAATAACTGTTTTGATTTCTAATACTGCCCAAGGAGGTGGACCATGAAAATAAGCACTGTTTTCTGTACCAAACAGATTAGCAGAAATACAGTGATACTGTGAAAATGTTGATACTAAATATGAAATCAAAAGAAGTGTATGCTTAATATTGGAAAATATCATACTTAGAAAAAAAGATTGCCAATAGTTTGCTATAAATTGTATTATAAACAGAATAAACACAGTCTATATCCCAGCCAATATATTTTGAGGAAGCTCAGCTCTTGAAATGTTAATAATGCTAAAGATCAAATGTTAGGCACAAAATCCTTAGAAACTGACTTACTGAATTATACCTATTAATGGAAACATTGTTTCAGACAACATAAAAGAAAACCTTTCACTGAAATATCTTAGTAATTATATTTGAATAGCAAGGAAAATATTAATACAGTAATCTTATGATAAGAGCTCAAATATTAAGTCATTCAACGTATGTTCAAACTGGAGAAACAGTGACCAAATAGTGAGTAAAATGTAAGTACACAGATAACATATGAAGTACTTTCAAAGCTTGGGAGAATATATAAATTAAAGAAGCAGCTAAAAATACAGTATTTTATATGTATAAAGATAAGAATTAAATGAAAGAATAGGATGTTTAAACAGTGTCAAGATACCAACCTGCTGATTACAAAGCACAAACAGTGTCTATCTTACAATGGAGTGGTGTGGTGGTCAGTGCCTTAACCAAGTGAACATAACACCAATGGTGGAAATTACTGCAATTATGACTCCTGTTATAACGTAATAAACAGCAGACAGTATCACTTATTTCGCATTTTTGACAAAAAATTTAATAAAAATCTAATCACGAGGAAACAATGATCTAGAATTTTAGACATTTTATACGACATCTGGCCTAGACTCTCTAAAAAAGTCAATGCAGTAAATCTTAGATTACGTAGCTGAGCTAAAAATAAAAAGATCGGGAGAATGCTCTGTATTCAAAAATTCAAAACAGGAATAATTAAATGCAATGTCCTTGGTTGAATCCTAAATCCAAAGATAAGGCTATAAGAGATATCTGACTACAGACTATATATTAAATGACATCATAGAATTATTATTATTATTATTTTTGAGACAGTGTCCTCCTCTGTCATTCAGGCTGGAGTGCAGTGGTGCCATCTCGGCTCTCTGCAGCCTCTGCCTCCCAAGTTCAGGCGATTCTTGTGCCTCAGCCTTCAGAGTAGCTGGAATTACAGGCCTGTGCCACCACACCTGGCTAATTTCTATATTTTTAGTACAGACAAGGTTTTGCTGTATTGGCCAGGCTGGTCTTGAACTCCTGACCTCAAGTGATCCGCATGCCTTGGCCTCCCAAAGTGCTGGGATTACAGGTGTGAGCCACTCCTCCCGGCCTGAATTACTATTAATTTTGTAAGATGTGCTATGTTATCAAGGTTATAAAAGTGTGTGCTTCTTCTTGGGAGATGCATGCTGAAGTAATCAGAGGTGAAGTATCATACTGGCTACAATTTCCTTTCAAATAGTTGAGTAAAAAAGAGAGAATCCGTGTGTGTATAAGCGCAATGCAACGTTTTCACAACTTGGTGAATACAGGTGGAATAAACAGTATTTACTAGTCTTGACTTTTGATGGATTGAAAATTTATAAAGTAGACTTTCTGAGACTAAGATATAATGGGAAAACTGATGTTTCTTCCTCAGGGATATTTATAATGCTAAAAAGATGTTAATGAAAATACTCCTGGCAACAAGAAAACTCACAGCAATAAAATACACGTGGTTCTCATCTCTTAAATCTTCATAGTTGGTTGTTTTTATAGTTCAGGGATTTTAATAACAGCAAATAATATTTAGGAGGTCACACATTAGAGGAATCATCACCTAAAGGAGGAAGAGACAGACTTCAGAAATCACAGATTCCTAAATGTAAGACAAAAAACCCACAGAGGCTCCATGGAGAGGCTTCAAGAAGCACACAAACCCTTAAAAACGAATGACAAACTTGCACATGAAAGTTGTTTTGAGAGGAGAATTCTGTAGCTTTCATCAGACCCTTAATGAGTCCCATGACTCAAAAAATATAAAAAAACCATTGTGCCCAAGAAAAACAGTATTCAGGATATAATTTTACATATCTACCAAAATATTAGGTATTTTAAGGTAATTTTTCTGTAAGTTTCTTTTAGCTTTCTGACTGTAAGTTTTTAAACTAGCACCTAAATGATATTAATCATTTCTATTTTTTTAACTGAATCTGCCTCAATCTTGGAAGGAAATAATAATTTTAAAAAATTGTTGAAGAAACCTTGAAGAAGGCCATTTAAAATAATTTGTATGTAGTACATTTTTAGAAAAAGTTATAATTTCTTTTTACAACAAAACAAAATAAAACTTACCGTTGAGGTGGTGTTCGTGGGCTCTTGAAGACTGCAGCTTTAGGTCTATCAGACTTGGAAGATTTGCACTTCACTTCATCTTCATACAATTCTGCCAAGGCCAGCTACATGATAATAGGCTTGTTATAAAGGATAACACTAGCAATAACCTCTTCCATACAACTAGGAGTTACATACAGAACATTAACTTAAAATTGAGTGGTAAAGACTTTTCATGAAAGAAGCTGATGCTTCAAAAGATGATTCCTTTCTGAAATAAACTCACTGAATCTCATTTTATAGAAATAATCAAAATGTCACATCTAAGAGAGTAACTCTAAGTTGTAATAATTATTTGATTATTTTCAATTAACTATTCAACAGTATCAAAAATCTGTTTTAGGTAACAAACCATTTTCAAATTTAAACCTAAAATTCTTGTGCAATTTTTAAAGAATTCCTGAAGATGTTTCACACTAATGTCAGCTTCTTTCATCAGATCTCATAAAATAGTTTCATTTAGCTATTCAAGTTTTCAAACTCCAAGCACATAAAACAATTTCGGAAGTATTCTATTTAAAAATCTACCAGACATAAAATTTCATGGTGCTTAGGAAAATGAGTTTCTGAAGAATACAATACCATAAATTATATATGGTTTATATACCATTTAGAAAGTAATATTACCAAATTATACATCACAGATATTTGCTGGATAGTTTATTTCAAAATGAAATATATATTTGTTCTCAAAATGGAATTTTAAAAAGGAATCCAATATTTCAGTATTGTATAGGTTATTTTTTTCTGACTTTTGACATCTTTGGATAACAACTCAGCAACTTTCCTTAATGCTCCTGCAGCTATTCAATTGTAACTGGCATGACCATAATCTCTGGGTTTTTTTTTTTTTCCCAAAACAACAACAATGAATAAAACCAAAACAAAACAGATTAAAATGCTTCTTTTAGACAAACAAATGATATGAAAACTACCTATAAGAAGAACAGGGCATTGGGGCAAAGTTAATTCTTTGACAATTCTATTAGTCAACTTTTAAAATACACACAAAGAAAACAAAATGAAAGACTATTCTATTCTAATTTTTTTTACTCCCACCCTCCCACATTCAATAACTTTCATATTTGTACCATGGCAACTTTGCTAGAAATCTAAATTATAAAAGTGGTAATCTAAAAGGACTGAATTGAAATCCTAATTTAGGCACTTACTGTGTGATCTTGGGCAAATATTTTTCTGAGCCTTAGTTACCACATCTTCAAATGCCTATTAAAAAATTACCTTAGAGAGTCATTTAAAAGATTAAAGAATGTATGGAAAGCACAAAGCATGTGCTCTATTACTAGAAGATATTATTTTTAAATGTTTAGCAATGATTGTAACAGTATTTCATTTTCCTCAAGATTTTTTTTCCCTAGAGTGTTAAATCTACTAATGGTCCTTTACTACTCTAGCCCCTTCAAAAACAAAACAAAAAAACCCAAAACAAATGACAGAGGAGAGACAAACAGACATGCACATACATATTCTAACGACAAGGTTCTAAAGTTTTCAAAAATTATACCTCCCTGAAATTTCTTTAAAGCAGTATTATTTTATAGATTTCCTTCTGAGCTGATTATGTCAGCTTTATGAATTACTTTTATGATATTCCTATTCTCCTCAATGAAAATGTCGTCTGTATCTCAAAGGCCCATTTCAGCACTCCTTCACAAAACCTTTTCTAATTTTCTTAATACCTTTTTTTTCTAAATACTCATAGCATGTGATACCTCCAATAACATTCATATTAAGCACTATGTTGTCATTACTTGTGTACTTTTGCTGTTTTATTTCCCCAACTAAATTTTAAGTTTCTCAAATTGTTTCTAATATTGTACCTAAGAGGCAAGAAATTCATGCTGAATTATATAAAGAATATAAAATGAATCAGAAATAGATATAGACAGATGGATTTTAAACTGGGGTTATATTTGCTTTAACAAGATTTGAATAAATGCTTCCAATCAAATAACAATTTTCTTTGGTAACATAAATAAAAAGGCAAAAATGTCTCTGACTCCGTGGAATGTGGAACATATATTAACAAAAGAGGAATATGAGGAAAATGATTAAGAGTCTACCTGGCTGAAAGATCCTAGTTATTAATGGTACATCACTAAAAACTTAGAAGAAAATGAGCAGTATTTAGAGGGAGTTGATGCCATGTGGCATCATATGGCATAAGTTCATTATTAAATATTACAAAGAAATTTAATTTATATTATTTAACATAGCAGATGGTATCACATCAAGAGGAAATGATAATTTAAATTGATAAATATTAATTGAAGTACTGGTCAAAACTAACACAACAAAATCTCAAAACGTAATTAAGAAAATGTTTCAATAATACGCAGAGGATAAAGTATCTAAGTAAAGTATTGATAATCTTTCCTCTGGAATTTGAAATGTGAAGAACTTGCAACCTGAAAGCAAAGTAATTGCGTGAGAAAATCAAGTATATAGCAAAGATTAAAAGTACTGGAATTCTAGCCTAAGAGTAAGCAATTCTAGAAGCAGTAATAAATGTTTATTATACAGACACCCGGGAACTTGTAAGAAATGCATATACGTAAACCCCACTCTAGAACCAATGAATCACACTTTGGGGTATGTTCCAGCAATCTTTGACAAGACTTCCAGGTCATAGATGCACACTAGAGAATCAATGATACAGAATAAAGATATTCAGTAGGATTAGGGTACTTGTGGCAACACAGTATCAGACATTTTAATTCTTCTCATTTATAGTACCCACTATTGAGTCCATCCTAACAAATCCAATCATAACCCTGATAAGTACGGAAGTTAACCCTGTTCCCACTCCCCGACTCCAACCTACATAGCAACACAGAACATGTGGAGGAAAACTGGGACATAGTATACGACTAAATACCTTAATGAACATGTGTGTGGATGGGCTGAGGGACACCAGAAGGGAAAGCAATTCAGAAATACTACTGAATACTGATGAGGTTTAGGGCTTAGTTTTGTCACTAACAATCCCACTCCTAACTTACCCTCTGACCATTTCCTTATTTGTGGGGGATGAAGGGAGCTATGAAAATCTATTGTGTGATATGCAAAAAAGATTTCTGAGTCTGCAGTTTGTAAGTTGGGGGCTCCCATGGCTGGGAGGCCTTTTGGGAAACAACTATGCAGCTGTCCTCTGGTGGCACCTGGAGCATTCCCTCCTGATTTAGATGCTGACAAACCCTACACTGCATGGCAGCTAAGATATACTTACTTAGGGGTACTTATACTTGTTCCAATCAGTGATACGTTACCCCTTTACTCGCTCGGAAAGACTCTTAGATCAAGCTGTTTGGGAAGTAAGAAATATCTACTGAAAGCTGCACGAACTGGGTTAACTCTTAAGCATATCTAGATTAAATGATAACAATATAATCTATAAATAATCAATATCCAAGATACCATTTGGGAAGAACATTAGTTAACTCTTTTAAACTTTGATACATACTTTATTTCTTGATATGTCATCCCTTTGGCTGTTTTCAAGTTTCTTTGCAAGTTCTTCACATTCATATTAAGTTCTAAAGAAAAGATTATCAATACTTAGATACTGTACTTGATATACCAAATCACATTAATAAAGAAACCAGTTTTCTTCCTACTGCCCTACCTACCAGAAATAGACAGATGAAAAAAAATTCCCATATTCTAACTTAGGGTGGAAATGAAAGCATTCTCACAATCAGCAACATCTACCAGAGTATCTCCAAACATTAATCATACTTTGAGCCACCGGATTAAGTCTGCAAACAATTTGCCAAGAATCAGGTGGCCATTGCCAAGCTGTTCTCACTTTTCACATAAAAAGCAGAAATGGATTTAAGTTACGGAAAGGACATTAAGCTACATACTATATTAACTTTAATGACATTAAAATGGACTATCCAGTGAAAGTTATAGCATCTTTCTCATTGAGGAAAAAGGAACCAAATATTTGCTCAGTAACAACTGAGCCAGAATAATGTAAGAATTTTGCATAGGCCCTTTACAACATTTAATCCTTACACTACCACCAGCACCCTGACCCTCCACAGTTTACAAATGAAGACAGTGAGGCTCAGAGAAGTTAAGGCATTTCTCCTAAGTTCATAAAACTACTAAGTAGCAGGACTAAGGCAAATCAAAACTGGTGTGACTACTAACTCCGTGCTGTTTCAGTGATGTGGGTTTAAATAGGAAAGATGAGGTACACAACAGCGTCCTATCCCTTGATTATGTTTATTGCTGCTGAGTCAACTATGGCGCTGGGACTATTCTACACTGAGTTCACCTCCTAATCTTACACTCATCTTTCCAGTCTCCAAATTCTTCACTTTGTGCACTGCTTATTTTGGCACCCCATCATACTTCATGGGGTGCCAAAATGTTATGCTAAATGTATTCACATCCCATTTCTCCGAAGAAATCTGTAGGCTTCCAAAAGGTAGAAATGTCTTTTACACTTACATACGCATCAATAGAGTTTAGCACGGACTAAGGATTGATGTCCTACTTATTTCCACATTCCCCAAAGCTTAGTATGTCACCATGGATGGTGGTTTGTTCGCGTTAGAATGAAGTGTGGTTTTAAAGTAATACAGTAGAACTGCTCTACCAAGATTCTCCTTAGTATCTCTCTACTGATATTTACTTGTTAAATAATAGTCTTATAGTGAGACACAAAAAAAGCCTAAAATGAGAAAAATGGCGTCAGTATCTGATAAAACGGGATTTGGTGCACTAATATTTAGCTAACTAATATCAGTGTCCTATACAACATTACGAAGTTTTATTTCCCTGTTTCTTGTGTGCAGTGTTTTAAAGACCATGACTTAGACAACTAGGCTGTATGAACATAGTGTGCATTGCTTTCCTTTGCCTCTTTAAAAGAAAAGGCTACATGATAAAATGGAACCATTTTTATATGTAAGTAATCAAGTCAGAAATAGCATCCAAGACAAAAAAAAAAAGAACAAATCACGCATCACTACTGTTTGGGTGACTGCCTAGTCCCCTGCGGCCACAGTAACCTTTCTTCTGGAGTAAGCTCCAAGAAGGAAGCATCAACCCGTGAAGCAACCAACTGACCCCACAAAATGTCATTCTAAACGAGTAGCTGTTTTTACATCGTACGTGGGGTAGAAGGGAGACAAGGCACCAGTGCTGGAGGGTCGGGCACTAGTGTACACGACCACCACCGTGCTAAGCGCCGACCTGGGGAGACCGGGCGCCGAAGTCACGATTCCAACCCAAGACAGGGTCCGGGAAAGGCTCCGCAGAGGATAGAGTCGGCCTCCGACTCGCACCAGCCCGCGCCGTCACCGGCCCGCGCCCACCGCCGCGCTCAGTCCCCCGGCTACTCGCCTCACCTGCAAATCCCGCGCGCTTGGAGGCCGCGGCCCGGAAGACCTCCGCTCCTGCTCGCCGGGCTCAGGGCCGCCGCCCTCCGCCATCTTCCGCCGGCTAGCGGCGCCCACTGCGGACGCAGCTCCTGCGACTTCCGGGGCCGGTAGCCTGGCAACCGCTGGAGGGGCGGAGCCTCGCAAAGCGCGGGCGCGCCCCCGTTTTCCGAAGCTGTGCCTCCATTTCCGGTGCTGGACCACCTGTCAGGTTTCCCTTTCTTCCTTAAAGGAAGTTGGCTCTGGGAATTTCTCCGCTGGGAAACTTCTGTAAGTTTCGTGTTGCTATTGCTGCACGCCTCAAGGCGCTGTAGGCCGCACTAGAGGGCAGTCTAGACTTGTACATTCATTTAGCTCAACAATGAAAACATCCTCTGGATTTTTCATCTGATGAAAAATTGCAACCCTCACTTCTGGTTTTGGTCAGATTCTCTCATCTTTCCTATCAAGGATTGATAGTACATCGCCTCCACAGTGTGAATTGGTATTGAGGGTGAAAAACACCGTAAAAAGTGCCTGGAATAATTTACTGAAAGCAGAACTCGGCCGGGCGTGGTCGCCTATAATTCCAGCAGTTTGGGAGGCCGAGGCGGGCGGATTACTTAAGGTCAGGAGTTCGAGACCAGCCTGAACAATGTGGCGAAAACCCCGTCTCTACTAAAATTACAAAAATTAGCCGGGCGCGGTGGTGGGCGCCTGTAGTCCCAGGAACTCGGGAGGCTGAGACAGGAGCATTGCATGAACCCAGGAATCGGAGGTTGCTGTGAGCCGCGGTGGCATCATTGCACTTCAGCCTGCGTGCCTGAGAGAGACTCAGTCTCAAAAAAAAAAAAAAAAAAAAAAAAAGCCACCTGATAAACAGCAGGTGCAAGAAGAGCACTCTAACCTTCTTTTCTTCCTGAAAGCAGGAAAATAAACTACCATGTGATAGATGCCGTCCCTATATCAAGAGGAAAGATACTCATCACCAAAGAAGGGAAGTTGAGGCTGAGAGAAATCTGTACAGACATTGTTAAAGTAACCCGTATCTTCCTAGATACTCTTCCATAATTGCCTTTCTTTGTTCAACTTAGTATAGGCCTAGACACTTATTTGGGTCTGTATTTTCTTGTGAGGACACCCACTTACATGTAAAGTTTTATTAAATAAAATCTGTTTTTTAATATAAATTTTTTTTTTTTTTGAGACAGAGTCTCGCTCTGTTGCCAGGTGCCAGGCTGGAGTGTAGTGGTGTGATCTCGGCTCACTGCAACCTCCGCCTCCCAGGTTCAAGCAATTCTCCTGCCTCAGCCTCCTGAGTAGCTGATACTACAGGCATGTGCCACCACGCCCAGCTAATTTTTGTTATTTTTAATAGAGACGGGCTTTCACCATGTTGGCCAGGATGGTCTTGATCTCTTGACTTCGTGATCCGCTCTTCCAGGCCTCCCAAAGTGCTGGGATTACAGGCGTGAGCCACCGTGCCGGGCCTAATACAAATTTTGTATGTAAAGTTTTATTAAATAAAATTTGTGTGGTTTTTTTCCTGTTAATCTGTTTTGTGTCCGTTTAATTCTTTGGACCCAGCTGGAGACTCTGAGAGAGTAAAGGAGAAATTTTTCTCCCCCCAACTGTGCATTCCCTGTGTAATTTCATTTATCCCTCTGCTGGGTAGTTATGATTACCTTGTTATACCTGAGGCAACCAGATGATAAAGTCTAACTTCATCCTGTAGTAAAGTGTTAGATACTAAACTGCACTTGTTTTCCTGATACTCTTTTTAACACAGGATTCTGCCCTAGAAATCTCTGGATCTTTAACAAGAAATGCCTCATAAAGCCAAAGACATTTTAGCTAAGTCTTGAAGGAAAGTACTTCTAGTGGAAGTATTGGACCAGAAAGAATCTTGGTAAAGGCAAGGATATGTACAAAGACACCGAGATTTGAAATACTACATTCGTGTCAGCAAACTACTATATGGTTGCAGCTTAGAAATGACAAAAGATGGTTATGGAATGGTGGGGAGGAGACAGATCTAAACTGGAGGCTTCAGACACATTCTGAACGATCTTGCCTTAGGTTGGGGATTGAATCCTCTGAGCCAGTGATTCTCTAACATTCTTGTACATTAGGATCACTTCTTCTCTCCCCTCTCTAGGAACTCAGGTTTATTAATAATTGGTATAGGGTGGGACTCAGGTACCATATGTCTTAAGATGTTCACCAAGTGGATTTTGCTACTGGCCATGACAGTATACCTGGTATTGGACTTGTCCTCCCACTCTTAACAACTAAAAACTAATACACACACACACACACACACACACACACACACACACCTCAATAATTTACAGGTAGCACCATTGTTGTATATGTATATATAACAACGGTTTTAAGGCATTGAGCAACAGGCAGTACAGGTCTGTGATATCTGGGAGAAGGAAAACAAACAAGGTGACTGTATTTGCCCAGGCTTTTTTTTTGAAACAGGGTTTTTCTCTGTTGCCCAGGCTGGAGTACAGTGGTGCAATTATGGCTCACTGCAGCCTCAATCTGTCTGGTTCAAGCAATCCTTCCACCTCAGCCTCTTGAGTGGCTGTTGCCCTAGCTTTCTGCATGGAACTCTCATACACTGCTAGTGGGTCCTAGAATGGGACAGCCACTTTGGAAAATAGGTTGTCAGTTTCTTCTAATGTTAAATATTCTATTAGCATAAGAACCAGCGATTCTCCTAAATATCGACCTAAGAGGGATGAAAGTATATATTTATAAAATATTTCTACCCAAATGTTCACAGAAGCTTTATCCATAGTAGCCCCCAAACTGGAAACAATCTAAATGTTGATCAGACAATGAATGGATACAATTTTGATAATTCATACAATGAAATATTACTCAGTAGTAAAAAGGGAGAAATTATGGATTCACACATCTTGAATGAATCTCAAAGATACTATCTTGGGTAATAAAAGCCAGGTGCAAAATAGTAAGTATTGTCTGATTCAATTTATATGAATTTTTAGGACAGGCAACACCTTTAATGACTAAAAGCTGATGGTAGCTTGGGGCTGTCTTTTTGGGTAAGAATAAGCTCAGGGAATTGTAGGATATGTAGGAACTTTTTGAGGTGACAAGAGTGTTTTATTGCTTGATTGTGGTGGTAGTTACACAGGTATATATTAATACATTTGTTAAAAACACACTGAACACTACACTTAAGATGCATGCATTTTATTACATGTAAATTATTCATTTATAAACTTGATTGAACAAAATCCTTGCTCAGCTGCTTCTGTTGTGCAGCTCTGTTTGAGAGCCACTGCTCTAAGGCAACTGGGACCTATTAAAGGATTTGTGATTTACAAAGAACGCATCAATGTGTATGATGAGTCAAAGTTAGGAAATAGATTGTTACAACAAGGAGAAGTAATTAGGACTCAAGTTTTATCAATGGAAGTGAGAGCAGAAAGAAGCAATACTTGGTAAAAATATTAAGATCAGAACCACTAGGAGTTGGAGTCTTCAATGTGGAACACATGAAAGAAAGAGGAATAGAAAATGGCATCTGGGGATTTGGCTAGGTGCTTTGGTAAATGGTACTACCTGTAAATTATTGAGTTGAAAGGGGGAAGCAAATTTCAAAGGAAATAAACAAGTTAGTTATGGACATTTTGAGTTCAAAAATGTATGCTGAACACTGGTGAAAATGCATCATGAAGCAATTGCAAATGTGGGTCTAAAGATTAGAAATTAGGCAAGAATTTTGGTTTGGAGATACAGATTTGGGTGTTGACTGCAGGTAAGTGATACAGAGTAGATGATGTTTCCCAGGAGCAGTGTGAAATGTGAGAAGCCACGAGGATTAAAAATGAGGATTAGCTGGGTGTGGTGGCTTACGCCAGTAATCCCAACACTTTGGGAGGCCAAGGTGGATGGATCATGAGGTGAAGAGATCGAGACCAGCCTGGCCAACATGGTGAAACCCCGTCTCTACTAAAATATAAAAAAAGTTAGCCAGGCATGGTGGCATGTGCCTGTAGTCTCAGCTACTCGGGAAGCTGAGGCAGAGGAATCACCTGAACCCAGAAGGTGGAGGTTGCAGTGAGCCAAGATCGTGCCACTGCACTTGCAAGAGAGCAGGACTCCGTTTCACAAAAAAAAAAAAAAAAAAAAAAAAAAAAAATGAGGATTAAGAACACGCAGAAACACCAACATTCAAGAACTCAGTGGAAAAAGGAAAGCTTTCAAGGTAGCCCTGAGAAATAGAGAGGTGAGAGGAACATAAGAGACTGGAAAAACTGGTGCTGAGGCGGTTTCAACAGGAAGAACAACGATGTCATTTACTACAGATAATCAAGAAAGATTAGGACTAAAAAGTATGCACTGGATTAAAGGAAAAGGAAATACTGTCCCAAAAGTTACCACCAATTTCATACTTAGAGAGGAAAATCCATATTTGATTAGTTTCAGAGTGACAGATAGGACTGTGAAGGCTACATGTTCAATATACTGAAGGTCAGTGGTGTGCAGAAGTTGCCGTGCACTGGCTTATGAGAGCCTACTGTTGAATTTTCAGGAATTTTGCAAGGCAGTTGTTAAAGATTATTAAAAATTAAATGATATAAATTTACTACTAAATTATACTAAAAACCCCTGGAATAAATATTCAAACTCATCATTTCCTAGTTATTTTAACACATTTTGCTATTATCTATGCTCCTGAGGAAATTGACATCTATTGGATCTATATGGCGGAGATGCTAATGAGCACCTCTTCCCAATGCCACATTCAGTGACAACATGTTAGTATCTTGAAATCTACCACAGTGTAAGAATTCCTACCTCAGAAATTGGTAAATGCCATAAGTAAAAGTTCGATTTCTTGTTTTGTTGATTGTCCACTGTAAATTTAAGGATCTGCTGGAGAAAATGTTTACAAGGCAGATAAGACTTAAAAGCGTGCTGTGCCTGCCACTGTTATATTGTGAATAGCAAAAGAAAAAAATTCCTCTAGTATTCTTCTAGTATTTGAATATTACTAGAGGAATATATTCCTCTAATATTTGAATATTACTAGCTTATTCTGGAAGAAGTTGCTCACATCATTGAGTTACTATGACTGTTTGTGTTTCACTTGCATCTTATGTGTGTCTTGTTAATGTGAACCAAAATATCAAGATTTAAGTGGTC